GGTCGTCTTCGATTGTCAAGGGTTTCAAGTTTCAGTTGGAGCAAGCGCTCAGCCGTATGAGGTGTCTTGCTTTTGCAGCGGAGAGGGTGGCAAAGATGGCCACGCCTACCGTCAGGAAGCCCCTGGCGCCAGCCCCCAGAGCTCGGCGCGCGAGGAAGTTCACCACGCATGTTTTTGTCGGCTTCCCTGAAGGGGCCTTCGGTTGCAAGATTTGTTGGAGGCAGGCCACCACCCTCTCCTCTCTCAACTCTTTGTCTGCCCGTCTTTGTGATCCCTAAACTCCAGGGCTTGGCCACCTCGTGCAAGTGTCTGAGCGTGTGCTTATCAGCACGCGCTGTGGAGCGCACGCGGTGGGTGCGCCCACAGCGACTCTCGGTCGGCCTGGTGCGAGCTTGCAAGGGGGGTGGGACTGGGACTGGGACGTCGGGGAGTCGGGCGGAGAGGGATCGCTGCCAGAGGCTGCTCGAAACTGCCCAGAAGGGCCGACATCCCAAGACGGGAGAGGTCCTAGGCACTCTGTTGCTGGCCGACGTGCCAGCGGGTTTTGCTCGCGAGCCCGTGGGCTCCCAGCAGGTGCCTCCGCGGGTGGGGGCCGTGGGTCCTGGGGCCGAGGCCGTTGGCCTGCGCGGCGCGTTGGTGCTTGAAGATGCCCCAGTTTCGGACTCACGGCCCGCGTCGGCCGCGTGAGCTCCTGCGCACGGTGCTGGCACCTGGCCGCACCGTCAGGGCGACCCCGGCCTTGCTGGGTCACCCCCATTTGTCTCGAGGCGGCTTCGTGGTTCACCTCGCCGCTCTCTGCACTACTCCACTGTTCCTTGCCACCTTGCCTCCTCCTCCTGCTCCTCATCTTCCTCCTCCCGTTCCTCCCGTTCCTCCTCCTCCTCCTCCTCCTCCTCCTCCTCCTCCTCCTCCCCCTCATCCTCATCCTCATCCTCATTATCCGCCTCCTCCCCTCCTCTTCCTCCTCCTTCTCTTCCTCCTCCTTCTCCTTTTCCTTCTCCTCCTCCTGCTCCTCCTGCCCTCCTCTTCCTCCTCCTCCCTGCCCTCCTCCTCCTCCTCCTCCTCCTCCTCCTCCTTCTCTTCCTCCTCCTCCTCCTCCTTCACCTCCTCCTCCTCCTCTTCCTCCTCCTCCTCCTCCTCCTCCTCCTTCACGTCGCCAAATTCAAGGCCCCGGAGACGTCTGGCTCGGTGCGGTTCCGTCAGGTTCGGCCCAGTTGGGTTCGAACTCGAATCCGGTTCGGTTCGGTTCGGTTCGAAATTGGGTATCATTCGGTTCTGGTTCGGTTCGCTTCTCGTTGACAAATCAAGCGGTTCGTACCGGTTCGGTTCGGCCCGGTTCGGTTCGGCCGGTTCGGTTCAGTTCCTGAGCCTTCTGGTCAAAACGAGGACCCAACGACACAGGATGGTTGGGAAAGGATGGTTGGGAAAAAGAAAGAACAGATTCGATCCTCCTCCTCCTCTTCCTCCACTTCCTCCTCCTGTTCCTCCGCCTCTGCGGCCTCCTCCACCCTCTCCAACTCCTGCTCCTCCTGCTGCTGCTGCTGCTGCTGCTCCTCCTCCTGCTGCTGCTGCTGCTCCTCCTCTTCCTCCTCCTCCCCAAGGGAGCTCCTCCACCTCCCCTTCTCCTTCCCTTTTCCTCCGGCTACGACCAGCTGCGGCGAGTAAGAGGGCCCCCGAAGTGCTTCTTGGGCCTGTGTTGGGCCGCCTTGGGTGGACCGTAGGCCGTTTTGGAAGCCTCTTGGGCCGTCTTCGTGGTTCTTGGAAGCCCCGAAGAAGAAGTATCATACAAAGGAGATTCCCAAGAAATCGACCATCCAGCCTAGCTAGAACTTGAGCGCGCGCGAAGCGCGCGCGATGTTTCCAGTGTGTGTATGTGTGTGTGTATATATATATATATATATATCCCCAGCAGCTTGCGGCAATCCCAGCAACGTGCCAGTGCAACAGCGCAGCAGGAGGCTGAGTGTAGGAACGGCGCAATTCCGACGAGTAGTCTGCATTGGGGCGGGGCGTGATCCCGACCTCGTCTTCGTCCGCGCGGTAGGGAGGAGGAGGAGGAGGAGGAGGAGGAGGAGGAGGAGGAGGAGGAACCACGTTGCCTGTTCCACATGGGATGTAACACACAGCTGGCACATCCAGAGTGCAAGAACTCACCGTTTGGGGTCAACGCTGCCAGACAATCGCCCCTTATATTTGCCGAATCGGCCTCTGAGCCTCTCGCCACGCTCTCCCGTGGGGCGGAATGCCCAAGGGCCGACTTGGCGTGGCACGTGGCCCTCCGTGCCCCCCCGTGGCCCAGTGGACCCCCTGCGCGTGCACAGAGCAAGCACCTGAAGTAGTGCCTGGCCGACTGGGGGTTCGGCAGTGTGAACAGCTTACCTTGCTTGTCACTGGCCCGTATCCGTTTTGGCTCGAGTCGTTTCGAAGATTGTTTTGCCCAAGGTGGGTTTCTGCGATCGCCCCAGAGTCCCCACAGCCTGCGTCAGCGCCGCGGGGATGTCGCTCCTGATCTTGCTGGTGTGTGCTCTGGGTGCGCGAGCAGATGTGCTGAACTTCGCCCCGGAGATGGACGGATCCTTCGAGTTCAACGACGCGGTAACGTCAGACATCGGCACAGCCATGATGACCACCAACGATGGCATCGTGTGCTATTCCGATTGGGCCAATCCCCCCGGGGAGAGGGCCGTGTGCAACGCCTTCGACGCCTCCACCGGCGACGTCGGCCCAGACTGCAACTTGACCGCGCACCTCGTGAAGGGTCAGAGGTTCACGGTCACCCGCTTCTCCGACGAACTGGCCATCGCGTGCTTCACGGCCTTCGGAGAGTACGAGATCGGGGGGCCGTCGTACTGCCACAAGCTGACCCTGAATGCGGCCGCCAAGACTCTGACCGCCGGGCCGGGCCTGTTGGTCAAGCCCGAGGCGACATTCATCTATTACCTGTCCGTCACCAGCTTCACCGAGTCTCTGGGGGCGGTGTGCTACCAGGACACCTCCGACGTGTTCGAACCGAAGGAGAGGAAAGTGAAGTGCAATGTCCTTGGCTTTGACCCCGGCAGCGACGACCTCACGACCAGCGAGGCTTTCGAGGCGGACCCGTTGGCGGTGGACGTCGTCGGTGTGTCGCTCACTAAGTTCTCGAGCTCGCAGGGCGTCTTGTGCTTCACCGAGAAGACGCAGAAGGAGGCGTACTGCACGCTGTTGACCGTCAGCGACACGGACATTAGGGTGCCCGGCCCGGACGACGTAGCCATCTTCTCTGGTGTCCCGAGCATACTGGACAGGGCCCAGGTGTCCGTGGTCAGCCTGGACGAGACCACAGGCCTGCTGTGCTACGTCGTCGGGGACGCGTCGGCGGGCAACAGCGCCTCCTACGACACCACGTGCACCCCCGTCGGCCTGTTCAACGGGACTGTGGTCAAAGTTGGCGACGACCTCGTGGTAGACAGTGACACCACTTTCGATGTGTCGGTTACGGCTATGTCCGAGACCGCCGCCATCGTGTGCTACCTGAAAGGTGACGAGAGGGTCGGTACCTGCAAGGGCCTGGTCCTGAGCCACGGCAGGGAGCTGACCATGGGCGACGCGAGGGACATCACTGGCACCAGTGGCTTTAAGGCCTACAGCAACGAGGACATCCGGGTCTGCGACGACAACCCCTGCATCGACTTCGTCTCGATCACGCGCAGGAACGACATCGACGCCATCGTGTGCTACGCGGGCATCGACGACAACCCCAACGGGCGGTGCACGAAGCTCTTCGTCCCGGCGCCCACCACTACCGTCACCGAGACCACGGCGAGCGAGACAAGCAGCACGACCCCACACACCACTACCGCGTCCAGCACCACAACCGCGACGCAGACGAGCACGTTCAGCAGCACCACCACCGCCACCGAGACCACGTCCACAGTGACCAAGACGACGGTGTCGACCACTCCGCACACCACCACAGAGACGTCGGTAACGTCGATGACCGCCACCGAGGCGGAGGATGCCGCTGGCCGTTGTTCTTTCCTTGCTCCCCTGGCGCTGCTTGCGGCCGTCGTGGCAGCAGCTGCACAGTGATCGCTGCGAGGACCCCTGCTGTGACAGCAGTGCAGATCATCTTCCTCATTCTGGCCAAGCGAGCGCAGGCGGCACAAGACCCTGCGCTCCCAGGGTGGTAATCATCTTCCTGCTTGCCCAGGGGCCACGCTCAGAAGTCGCGGGCCAGCCATGACCATGACCATCGCAAGCATCGTCATCATCATCAGCATCAGCAGCAGCATCATCATCATAACCATCATCATCATCATCATCATCATCATCATCATCATCACCATCATCATCACCATCATCATCACCATCATCATCTTCATCGGGCCGCCTCGCTCTCCTTCGCGCCCTCCCTCCCTCCCCGCACCCCTCGGGCCCGTCGTGTGTCGTCCCTGGCCTCTCCCCGCTGGCTCCTGCACTCTACGTGGGGACCTCTGGATTCCCGTTCGGCCTCCGAAATCATAAGCCGTCGGTCTGTCAACAGCCGGGGCTCGATCGAGAGATCCTACAATCTCTTCACGCATTGCAGTGACGTCTGGGTTCCCTTGCAGTCCTCTTGATACCTGTGTGCCGAGCGCCTCCGCTTGAAGTGCCCTGGAACCCCTTCCCGTGCACCGCCTGGAGAGCTCGGAGTTCCCGTGCGGACTCGTGACTTCTAAGACCGACAGCCCTTCGGATGCGGAGCTCCACGATGTGCAGGCCATCGGTTAAAACACCCAGGAGCCGACGCCACAGCTCTTTCCCCGCACCACCTGCTGCTCTTACCGTGACTACCACCGCAATTGTGCTCACAAACCACATCGCCAGTCCAGGGTCGCTTGTCCACGCTGCCGGTGGTGCCACTTGGACGCAGGGCCGCCACCATCGTCATCCGCGAGCACTGCCTGGCGGCCCCAGGCCCGGACAACCCCCACCCCCAGAAGTCCCCACCCGACCCCTCGCATGGGAGACAGAGCCGGCCTCCAGGTGGGCTCCGCGGTGAGGACACTCTTTTCAGTGCCGGCGGTATGGCGGCGGATCTCGTCGAGTGAGGGCCCCTGCAGGTTGAAGATTTTCAATGGCTTGTCCTGTGACTGTGCCCGTCTTTGCTCAAGTCTTTTGACCCGTGCTTTCCTCACCAGGTGGGTTTCTGCGATCGCCCAGAGTCCCCACAGCTTGCGTCAGCGCCGCGGGGATGTCGCTCCTGATCTTGCTGGTGTGTGCTCTGGGTGCGCGAGCAGAGGTGCTGAACTTCGCCCCGGAGATGGACGGATCCTTCGAGTTCAACGACGCGGTAACGTCAGACATCGGCACAGCCATGATGACCACCAACGATGGCATCGTGTGCTATTCCGATTGGGCCAATCCCCCCGGGGAGAGGGCCGTGTGCAACGCCTTCGACGCCTCCACCGGCGATGTCGGCCCAGACTGCAACTTGACCGCGCACCTCGTGAAGGGCCAGAGGTTCACGGTCACCCGCTTCTCCGACGAACTGGCCATCGCGTGCTTCACGGCCTTCGGAGAGTACGAGATCGGGGGGCCGTCGTACTGCCACAAGCTGACCCTGAATGCGGCCGCCAAGACTCTGACCGCCGGGCCGGGCCTGTTGGTCAAGCCCGAGGCGACATTCATCTACTACCTGTCCGTCGCCAGCTTCACCGAGTCTCTGGGGGCGGTGTGCTACCAGGACACCTCCGACGTGTTCGAACCGAAGGAGAGGAAAGTGAAGTGCAATGTCCTTGGCTTTGACCCCGGCAGCGACGACCTCACGACCAGCGAGGCTTTCGAGGCGGACCCGTTGGCGGTGGACGTCGTCGGTGTGTCGCTCACTAAGTTCTCGAGCTCGCAGGGCGTCGTGTGCTTCACCGAGAAGACGCAGAAGGAGGCGTACTGCACGCTGTTGACCGTCAGCGACACGGACATCAGGGTGCCCGGCCCAGACGACGTAGCCATCTTCTCTGGTGTCCCGAGCATACTGGACAGGGCCCAGGTGTCCGTGGTCAGCTTGGACGAGACTACAGGCCTGGTGTGCTACGTCGTCGGGGACGCGTCGGCGGGCAACAGCGCTTCCTACGACACCACGTGCACCCCCGTCGGCCTGTTCAACGGGACTGTGGTCAAAGTTGGCGACGACCTCGTGGTAGACAGCGACACCACTTTCGATGTGTCGGTTACGGCCATGTCCGAGACCGCCGCCATCGTGTGCTACCTGAAAGGTGACGAGAGGGTCGGTACCTGCAAGGGCCTGGTCCTGAGCCACGGCAGGGAGCTGACCATGGGCGACGCGAGGGACATCACTGGCACCAGTGGCTTTAAGGCCTACAGCAACGAGGACATCCGGGTCTGCGACGACAACCCCTGCATCGACTTCGTCTCGATCACGCGCAGGAACGACATCGACGCCATCGTGTGCTACGCGGGCATCGACGACAACCCCAACGGGCGGTGCACGAAGCTCTTCGTCCCGGCGCCCACCACTACCGTCACCGAGACCACGGCGAGCGAGACAAGCAGCACGACCCCGCACACCACTACCGCGTCCAGCACCACAACCGCGACGCAGACGAGCACGTTCAGCAGCACCACCACCGCCACCGAGACCACGTCCACCGTGACCAAGACGACGGCGACGACCACTCCGCACACCACCACAGAGACGTCGGTAACGTCGATGACCGCCACCGAGGCGGAGGATGCCGCTGGCCGTTGTTCTTTCCTTGCTCCCCTGGCGCTGCTTGCGGCCGTCGTGGCAGCAGCTGCACAGTGATCGCTGCGAGGACCCCTGCTGTGACAGCAGTGCAGATCATGTTCCTCGTTCTGGCCAAGCGAGCGCAGGCGGCACAAGACCCTGCGCTCCCAGGGTGGTAATCATCTTCCTGCTTGCCCAGAGGCCACGCTCAGAAGTCGCGGGCCAGCCATGACCATGACCATCGCAAGCATTGTCATCAGCATCAGCATCAGCAGCAGCATCATCATCATAACCATCATCATCATCATCATCATCATCATCATCATCATCATCATCATCATCATCATCATCATCATCACCATCATCACCTTCATCGGGCCGCCTCGCTCTCCTTCGCGCCCTCCCTCCCTCCCCGCACCCCTCGGGCCCGTCGTGTGTCGTCCCTGGCCTCTCCCCGCTGGCTACTGCACTCTACGTGGGGACCTCTGGATTCCCGTCCACGATGTGCAGGCCATCCGTAAAAACACCCAGGAGCCGACGCCACAGCTCTTTCCCCGCACTACCTGTTTCTCTTACCGTGACTACCACCGCAATCGTGCTCACATCGCCAGTCCAGGGTCGCTTCTCCACGCTGCCAGTGGTGCCACTTGGACGCAGGGCCGCCACCATCGTCATCCGCGAGCACTGCCTGGCGGCCCCTGGCCCGGACAACCCCCACCCCCAGAAGTCCCCACCCGACCACCTGCATGGGAGATAGAGCCGGCCTCCAGGTGGGCTCCGCGGTGAGGACACTCTTTTCAGTGCCGGCGGTATGGCGGCGGATCTCGTCGAGTGAGGGCCCCTACAGGTTGAAGATTTTCAATGGCTTGTCCTGTGACTGTGCCCGTCTTTGCTCAAGTCTTTTGACCCGTGCTTTCCTCACCAGGTAGGTTTCTGCGATCGCCCAGAGTCCCCACAGCCTGCGTCAGCGCCGCGGGGATGTCGCTCCTGATCTTGCTGGTGTGTGCTCTGGGTGCGCGAGCAGAGGTGCTGAACTTCGCCCCGGAGATGGACGGATCCTTCGAGTTCAACGACGCGGTAACGTCAGACATCGGCACAGCCATGATGACCACCAACGATGGCATCGTGTGTTATTCCGATTGGGCCAATCCCCCCGGGGAGAGGGCCGTGTGCAACGCCTTCGACGCCTCCACCGGCGACGTCGGCCCAGATTGCAACTTGACCGCGCACCTCGTGAAGGGCCAGAGGTTCACGGTCACCCGCTTCTCCGACGAACTGGCCATCGCGTGCTTCACGGCCTTCGGAGAGTACGAGATCGGGGGGCCGTCGTACTGCCACAAGCTGACCCTGAATGCGGCCGCCAGGACTCTGACCGCCGGGCCGGGCCTGTTGGTCAAGCCCGAGGCGACATTCATCTATTACCTGTCCGTCGCCAGCTTCACCGAGACTCTGGGGGCGGTGTGCTACCAGGACACCTCCGACGTGTTCGAACCGAAGGAGAGGAAAGTCAAGTGCAATGTCCTTGGCTTTGACCCCGGCAGCGACGACCTCACGACCAGCGAGGCTTTCGAGGCGGACCCGTTGGCGGTGGACGTCGTCGGTGTGTCGCTCACTAAGTTCTCGAGCTCGCAGGGCGTCGTGTGCTTCACCGAGAAGACGCAGAAGGAGGCGTACTGCACGCTGTTGACCGTCAGCGACACGGACATCAGGGTGCCCGGCGCGGACGACGTAGCCATCTTCTCTGGTGTCCCGAGCATACTGGACAGGGCCCAGGTGTCCGTGGTCAGCCTGGACGAGACTACAGGCCTGGTGTGCTACGTCGTCGGGGACGCGTCGGCGGGCAACAGCGCCTCCTACGACACCACGTGCACCCCCGTCGGCCTGTTCAACGGGACTGTGGTCAAAGTTGGCGACGACCTCGTGGTAGACAGCGACACCACTTTCGATGTGTCGGTTACGGCCATGTCCGAGACCGCCGCCATCGTGTGCTACATGAAAGGTGACGAGAGGGTCGGTACCTGCAAGGGCCTGGTCCTGAGCCACGGCAGGGAGCTGACCATGGGCGACGCGAGGGACATCACTGGCACCAGTGGCTTTAAGGCCTACAGCAACGAGGACATCCGGGTCTGCGACGACAACCCCTGCATCGACTTCGTCTCGATCGCGCGCAGGAACGACATCGACGCCATCGTGTGCTACGCGGGCATCGACGACAACCCCAACGGGCGGTGCACGAAGCTCTTCGTACCTCCGCCTACCACTACCGTCACCGAGACCACGGTGAGTGAGACAAGCAGCACGACCCCGCACACCACTACCGCGTCCAGCACCACAACCGCGACGCAGACGAGCACGTTCAGCAGCACCACCACCGCCACCGAGACCACGTCCACCGTGACCAAGACGACGGCGACGACCACTCCGCACACCACCACAGAGACGTCGGTGACGTCGATGACCGCCACCGAGGTGGAGGATGCCGCTGGCCGTTGTTCTTTCCTTGCTCCCCTGGCGCTGCTTGCGGCCATCGCGGCAGCAGCTGCATAGTGATCGCTGCGAGGATCCCTGCTGTGACAGCAGTGCAGATCATTTTCCTCGTTCGGGACAAGCGAGCGCAGGCGGCACAAGACCCTGCGCTCCCAGGGTGGTAATCATCTTCCTGCTTGCCCAGGGGCCACGCTCAGAAGTCGCGGGCCAGCCATGACCATGACCATCGCAAGCATCGTCATCATCATCATCATCATCAGCAGCATCATCATCATCATAATCAGCATCAGCATCAGCAGCAGCATCATCATCATAACCATCATCATCATCATCATCATCATCATCATCATCATCACCATCATCATCACCATCATCATCTTCATTGGGCCGCCTCGCTCTCCTTGGCGCCCTCCCTCCCTCCCCGCACCCCTCGGGCCCATCGTGTGTCGTCCCTGGCCTCTCCCCGCTGGCTCCTGCACTCTACGTGGGGACCTCTGGATTCCCGTGCGGCCTCCGAAATCATAAACCGTCGGTCTGTCAACAGCCCTGGCTCGATCGAGAGATCCTACTACCTCTTCACACACTGCAGTGACGTCTGGGTTCCCTTGCAGTCCTCTTGATACCTGTGTGCCGAGCGCCTCCGCTTGAAGTGCCCTGGAACCCCTTCCCGTGCACCGCCTGGAGAGCTCGGAGTTCCCGTGCGGACTCGTGACTTCTAAGACCGACAGCCCTCCCGATGCGGAGCTCCACGATGTGCAGGCCATCGGTGCCATCGGTAAAAACACCCAGGAGCCGACGCCACAGCTCTTTCCCCGCACTACCTGTTGCTCTTGCCGTGACGACCACCGCAATCGTGCTCACAAACCACATCGCCAGTCCAGGGTCGCTTCTCCACGCTGCCAGTGGTGCCACTTGGACGCAGGGCCGCCACCATCGTCATCCGCGAGCACTGCCTGGCGGCCCCAGGCCCGGACAACCCCCACCCCCAGAAGTCCCCACCCGACCCCTCGCATGGGAGACAGAGCCGGCCTCCAGGTGGGCTCCGCGGTGAGGACACTCTTTTCAGTGCCGGCGGTATGGCGGCGGATCTCGTCGAGTGAGGGCCCCTGCAGGTTGAAGATTTTCAATGGTTTGTCCTGTGACTGTGCCCGTCTTTGCTCAAGTCTTTTGACCCGTGCTTTCCTCACCAGGTAGATTTCTGCGATCGCCCAGAGTCCCCACAGCCTGCGTCAGCGCCGCGGGGATGTCGCTCCTGATCTTGCTGGTGTGTGCTCTGGGTGCGCGAGCAGAGGTGCTGAACTTCGCCCCGGAGATGGACGGATCCTTCGAGTTCAACGACGCGGTAACGTCAGACATCGGCACAGCCATGATGACCACCAACGATGGCATCGTGTGCTATTCCGATTGGGCCAATCCCCCCGGGGAGAGGGCCGTGTGCAACGCCTTCGACGCTTCCACCGGCGACGTCGGCCCAGACTGCAATTTGACCGCGCACCTCGTGAAGGGCCAGAGGTTCACGGTCACCCGCTTCTCCGACGAACTGGCCATCGCGTGCTTCACGGCCTTCGGAGAGTACGAGATCGGGGGCCCGTCGTACTGCCACAAGCTGACCCTGAATGCGGCCGCCAAGACTCTGACCGCCGGGCCGGGCCTGTTGGTCAAGCCCGAGGCGACATTCATCTATTACCTGTCCGTCGCCAGCTTCACCGAGTCTCTGGGGGCGGTGTGCTACCAGGACACCTCCGACGTGTTCGAACCGAAGGAGAGGAAAGTCAAGTGCAATGTCCTTGGCTTTGACCCCAGCAGCGACGACCTCACGACCAGCGAGGCTTTCGAGGCGGACCCGTTGGCGGTGGACGTCGTCGGTGTGTCGCTCACTAAGTTCTCGAGCTCGCAGGGCGTCGTGTGCTTCACCGAGAAGACGCAGAAGGATGCGTACTGCACGCTGTTGACCGTCAGCGACACGGACATCAGGGTGCCCGGCCCGGACGACGTAGCCATCTTCTCTGGTGTCCCGAGCATACTGGACAGGGCCCAGGTGTCCGTGGTCAGCCTGGACGAGACTACAGGCCTGGTGTGCTACGTCGTCGGGGACGCGTCGGCGGGCAACAGCGCCTCCTACGACACCACGTGCACCCCCGTCGGCCTGTTCAACGGGACTGTGGTCAAAGTTGGCGACGACCTCGTGGTAGACAGCGACACCACTTTCGATGTGTCGGTTACGGCCATGTCCGAGACCGCCGCCATCGTGTGCTACCTGAAAGGTGACGAGAGGGTCGGTACCTGCAAGGGCCTGGTCCTGAGCCACGGCAGGGAGCTGACCATGGGCGACGCGAGGGACATCACTGGCACCAGTGGCTTTAAGGCCTACAGCAACGAGGACATCCGGGTCTGCGACGACAACCCCTGCATCGACTTCGTCTCGATCACGCGCAGGAACGACATCGACGCCATCGTGTGCTACGCGGGAATCGACGACAACCCCAACGGGCGGTGCACGAAGCTCTTCGTACCTCCGCCTACCACTACCGTCACCGAGACCACGGTGAGTGAGACAAGCAGCACGACCCCGCACACCACTACCGCGTCCAGCACCACAACCGCGACGCAGACGAGCACGTTCAGCAGCACCACCACCGCCACCGAGACCACGTCCACAGTGACCAAGACGACGGTGACGACCACTCCGCACACCACCACAGAGACGTCGGTGACGTCGATGACCGCCACCGAGGTGGAGGATTCCGCTGGGCGCTGTCCTTCCCTTACTCCCCTGGTGCTGCTTGCGGCC